TCTTAATTCCGGTTTGGGATTGATTAGATGAGGCTTAATCAATGCCAAATTGCTGGGAACTAGTACATCATGGAATTTTGAAACTATATTAATGCATTTAATATAAAAATATAGTATAATTTTATTTTCATTGAACGTATATACACTGTATACACATACAATGAAATTCACAAAGAACACTCAGAGACCAGACCAAAACCCACACACCCTCATAACAATCCTAAAACCCAGAACCCCTTTGCCCTTTTGCAACTACATCACACTGTTGACTCATATTCAGCTTGTGATCTACAACAATTCCAAAACCCTTCTCACTTGTGGCATTCCTGAGCCAACTATCCCCCATCTTCTAACTGTGCAGATGGTTCCCCCCCAGTATAAAACTTTGCACCTATGCCTGTAAAATTTCGTTCTGTTGTTTTCAGCTCAGTGCTCAGGGTTCTAAAGAGCTTTTTGCATTTTATATCTGTCTTTCAGTTATTAGCTATTCCACCCAATTTTGTCTCATCTGCGGAGTTCACAAGCAATCCCTGCACCCCCTCATCCAAGTCCAATAAAAATGAGAAGACTATCTGGGCTCAAAAGTCTTTGAGTTTCTCTCCCAGAGCTCCAAAGTCTGATGTTATTTCTTCATAAGTCATCTTGGCTGTGTAGCTTGTCCCCATGTGGATAAGAAGAAAGGGATTGTCATCTGTGGGTTTTATGAGTGATGGCAATCCTTCTGACAGATCTCTAATCTATTCTCCAGGAAGACAGCATACCTGGTGGTCCATGCATCTTCCTGGCCTATTTCCATTTCAATAACTTGCAGTAGGCAGTCTCCTACTTTTTCCACCATGCTCAGTGGATATCTCTCTCTCTCTCTCTCTCTCTCTCTCTAGGTTGTGAGTTACGTGACTCTGTTTGGCTGAACATTAGCCTCTCCCATATCCTCCTGCAGGGTCTCCTATATGTCTTCCTCTGCATGCTGTCTACCAGATTCCTCCTCAAGAATCTGAAAGCAGTTTTATAGTTCCACTGGTGAGGAGTGTCTTCTTGTTCTTTTGCTCCTATCTGTGACTGTTTTCCATGGTGCTTCCGCCACTATGTTCATTCTCCCCTCCATAGTCTCCTCCTCTGCTTTGTCTTGCTGTTTTTCCACCTCCAGTGTCTCTCCCTTGGCTACTGTTGCCTGAGAGTTCTGTCTCTGTACTCTTCATCTTCTCTTATAGCCTTAGGCATGCCCACTTGCTGCTCCAGTTCTTTAATTTTTGTCTTCCAACAATGCAAACAGTTTGCACTTGCTGTATGTGTGCACAGTGTTGTTCTCAGGAATGAAGAGAAACATTGCACACATTTTGCAGGTCACCATCACTGAAGTGTCTCCTCCCACCATAATCCTTATTACCTTTTTTTTACTTTCTTCTGTTTATCTCTTAGTGCCCTTTCCTTTGGTTTTTTAGGGTTTTTTTTTCTGTCTTGAAGGATGCTGGGAATATCCGCTAATATATAATTATATCCAGAAAACAAAAATATTTTTAGAGGTGTCCACTTTCAAATTCCTGTTCACTCACTCTGGTCACTTGTTCCCTGGGGTCTCTCAGATTTGTTCCTGTACTGTGCTCTGTTAGAAATCAGCAAACAGAAAGGCCCTACCAGTTCTCACAGCTGCTAATTATTGCTCTCAGCAGTTATCAGGGCATGTCATTATTGCTCTCAGCAGTTATCAGGGCATGCCCCTTCCTCTTAAGCTGAGCACAGGGTGCTTCTGAATGGGGGATTCCCAGGGATTGCCCCATGTCACTTCCTGTTGTTAATCTAAATTACTTACCTCTCTGCCTTTGTATCCTTGGTCTCCTCAGTTAGGAGTCAGCGAAAAACGGGGGGAAAAAAGATTTAGCCTGAAATTTAACCTTGATTACCATTGACAGCAACAATAATAATGTCTACATGAAGCCACTGAAAATTAAGGGGAACTACTCATACCCGGTCATATCTGAAATAAAGTGAAATATCCACCATTTTCTTTTAAAACTACTGTATATACCCGAGTATAAGTCTAGTTTTTCAGCAAAAAATTTTGGCTGCAAAAGCACCCCCTCGGCTTATACTCGAGTCAGTGTCAAAATTAAATGTTCTGCCCTGCAGTGCGGGTGTTCTCCAGACTCCCCCATTCATCTGTGGGCGCCTGCAACCTCTGTGGGTGGTCTGATGACTCGGGTTAAGTATACTGTATTTCTGCTTCCAGGACACTCCCATCTTCCTCCTTCTGCATATTCTATGTACCCACCTTCCTCCTCCATCCTCCGTCTCTCTCCATCTTGTTATGCAGCAGTAAAGCAATAGATAAGCACAGCATCCAGTATGAGTCCTCCCTCCACAGGCAGTGCTTGCAGCTCAGGAGGGCAGTATCTTCAAAAACATTTAACCTACTGATGCCTCAATTAATGTAATTTTATTGGTATCTATTTTTATTTTTGAAACTTACCAGTAGCTGCTGCATTTTCCACCCTCGGCTTATACTCGAGTCAATAGGTACAGTATTCCCATTTTTTTGTGCTAAAATTGGCTTGTATTCGGGTCGGCTTACACTTGAGTATATATGGTACTTTGAAAATGCTTCATGATTTGTATACATGAGGCAAAATTCTAATGATAACCAGCATGATCCAGTGTTCTATAAACACAAATCTGTCTTTGAAAGGGAAAGTTCAGCATGCTTATGAGAATCTGCCATTGAATGATTTTACTCTTATAGGTAGAGATGGGCACAAACTGCTAGTTCAGTGGTTCATGCCAATTTGTTTCTTGGCTAAGCAAGTGTTCAGCACTTCAAAGCACTGCCACCTCCATTGTGTGCCTGCTCAGAGGCAGCGTCCCAGCTTCCCTGCCTCACCTCCTCCAGGTTCCACCTCTGAGTTGGCACCACCAGAGAAGGCAGAAGTTTGAAGTGCTGAAAACCTGTTTAGCCAGCACAAACTGCCAAAGTGGTGGTTTGTGACGATCTTTACCCAGGTGAGAATCAGACTGATGTAGTCCTTTCAAACTGTAAGAGAAAACTGGCTAATACTGTTATTTGGTAATAGCAATTATTTAGTTAGATTGCCTGCAATCAGGTACATTTTTATTTATTTATTTATTTATTTATTTATTTATTTATTTATTTATTTGCTTTGCTTTGCTTTGCTTTGCTTTGCTTTGCTTTGCTTTGCTTTGCTTTGCTTTGGTCAAATGTCCAAAAACCACCGAGGCTAACTTCTGAAATCAACAACATTTAAAATCCCTGCTATGCTGCAATTACAATATATCATCCTTGGATTTCTCCCTCCCCCTTTTTTTTTTTTTCAGTACCAGTTTGCATGTGATGTCCAAGAAGAAATTAGAAACATCAGTACTAACATTAGAGTGAATGATGGACGGAAATACAAAGTGCGAATTAGGTAGGTTTTTTTAATATTTCTTATTCAAAATAGTCAGATCAGCCTGAGGCATCGCAGTTTAGTTGATCAGCCTAAATGAATTGGTTTGTTTTTTTGCTCACAGCCAGTGATGCCGCCCTAACTTTAAGGAAGTCAGAAGGAATTTGGCACTGACTTTGGTGAAAGAGAGCTCAGCAGCATAATGATCAAGCAAATAATGTCATTCATTAATATATATTATATGTTCCCATCTCAAAAGGCTTTCGGGAGCCACATGCTTTGCCTTCTACCAAGTATTCCTTCTATGACACATATCCCAACTGGATTTTGGGATGTGTGCGTAGGGGGAGATAGTTCTAAGAAGCAAGATGCACCCTCCCCATAAGTCCTGATTCCCAATAGAATTGCTGGGACCCATGCACTGGTGGTATCAACCTTCTGGGAGCAGCATAGCTTCAAGCTTTCTTGATTTCCATGGATTGAGCAAGGGCCTCACTTCTGACTCAGCCTCTGGCTATGTGTCATCCACAGTCTGAGGTTCCTGAGTTCTAGAGCAGGGGTCTCAAACATGCGGCCCGGGGGCCATTTGCGGCCCCCCAGATGATAGTTTGTGGCCCTCGCCTTGCCTGCCCCCCCCAAAGCGCCCACACATCCTCTGCTGTCAAGAGTTTAAAAAAAAAGCCTTGCCTCGCTCGCCGGCTCTCTCCCAAGACAGCACCTCTTGCCCCCTCCATCCAGAACTGCAGCCTGCCAGCCCGCCCACCTGTCTGTCAGCTAAGGAAACTCCTGGGCGGCTTCCTCGGGCTCTTGCTCCACTTGGCGGAAAATCTGATGTGTCCCAGCCTCTCCCAGACTCTGCCTCTAGCAGCCCCCAGGTAAATTGAGTTTAAAACCCCTGTTCTAGAGTGTCAGGTTCACCCTTGCTGGAGGATGCTTCCAACATGACACTCGGTTCCTTCTGTAGAAATGTAATGATTGGGTTGGACTTGGTGGCCTTGTAGGCCCCTTCCGACTGCACTGTTCTATGATTTCTATGATCTTCAGCCCCATATGGCAGGTACAAGGAGTTATTGGGGCTCCATGACTTGATACCATGTCTTGTCAATCTCAGCATTACCCAAGTTCTCACCAATGTAATGCTAAACCATGGTTGAAGATTGAAGTTCTCCAAGAGAATAGGGGAGCAATTTGCTGAGGGTAGGGAAGGACAAAGAGCACGTGTCACTGAGGCTAACTGCTGAAATGTAAAAAACGGTTTTCAAGGGACTGGCATGAGGTTTGTACCAGTCCATAGTGACTAGAGGCAACTGCAAAATAAAATTAATAAAACTGTGCACATTTTATCACCTCAATTATTTATTAACTAGCTATACTATGGCACCATGAATTCCAATGAAGCAGAATACTTTAAAAATTCAATAAGTAAGTTAATTGAGCAATAAGATATGACAGGAACATTTTATTAATTTTAAGTGCCTTAAGACTGAGACCTTAGGCCAAGTGCTTTTCTTCGCCACTGCTTGTCATTAGTAGATCTTATCACACACCATGAAGTACCTTATTGGAATTATAAAATATTAATTTTCAGAGAAAATGTGAAAAGAAGATGCTATGAAGTTTTTTAATGTGGACATGAACCCTGAATTAGGTGAAACCTACCCCAACTAGTTTGAAGATGCTAATGGTAACATCAAAGGATTTCATTCAAACAGACATAGGAATTATGGTTTCATCTGGAAATTTCCTGCTATTTGCCCCCACCTTCTGATGATAATAATAACTATAGTTACAAAAAGCAACTATCTCTCATTAAGTATAGTGAAGTCCACATTCCTCTCAGGAAGATTCTCATGTTTTATTGACTTGGCCTAAACCATGGTTTCTTATTTGTGTGGTGCTCTTCCTTTTCTTATATCCTGGCCAGAGGTCAGAAAAGATGGAACTGTAATTGAGTAAAACCAGCAATGCAGAGTTTTGGTCTCTGGGAAAGACACATAAAAGAGGAGGAAAGCATTAGACAGCTGGGGGTTACTGCAGCTCGCACACATAGGAAGAACTATTCGTTTGTGTTATGTTTGAAATGAGTCACTGTGTTCACTGTAGTAGTTCTTTTAGAAAGCCACTTTGTAGTACCTGTTTAAGACCAAAGGTGGCCCATATGGTGTGTGGTGCAGTGCCACACTTTACTTTCACCTGAATTGGGAAGTAAAGTACTGCACATCATAACGTAGTGACATCCACATCCCATCCCACTGGAAAAAGAGGAGAAAGGTGTGAGGCAGATGTTCCCCTCACCCACACATCCTCTGCAGACTGCCCAAAAGTTGGGGTGGGTTTGGGAGGGCATTTGCCTCAAGTGCCACCAAGCAGCTAAGTCCTAACACTGGATCAGACTTGTTCCTGGCAGAGAGAGGTGTACCTGAAGAGAACTGGGACTGCCACAAAACACTTTTTGGAATTCACTGGCCTGTTCTTAGAAGTCACCTGTATGCCTTCCAGCCATCAAACGGCAGACCAGGCATATTTCAGGACTTGAAGAACCATCTGGGGTGACTTGACATGAGACAGAAGCTGTTTCTTTCTCTTCTCATACAAAGAAGCAAAGGGATGGGCAGCTGCTGTGTGTCAGACAGCTGAAACAGGAATGGGTGGGCAAGGAGGAGATGCTGACAGTGTTGACATCTGGTGCAACCCTCCCCCATCAGAGCTGGTAGGAGAGTAGCAGAAGCTCTTGGAGCAGGAGGAATTGTGCAAGCATAGGAGGAGCAAATATCTCATTGCTCTGCGCTGCTCCCCGAGGTGACTATGTCTTTGAGAAGTACAGTGGTTCCTTGACTTATGAATGCCCCTACATGTGAACATTTTGACTTACAAACAGCTCCGTTCACAAAATTTTGCTTCAACTTGCGAATGGAGCTTCGACTTACAAACGAAAAAAATGGGGAGAAAGCGGGAAATTGACTTTGGACTGCCTGGTACTGTAATTTTAAAATGTAAAAATTGGTTTAAAAGGTCCCTCCCTCCTTCCCTGCCCTTTTTTTAACCTTAGGTCATCATAAGTTAAATAAACTTTCCCCCTAGTGGTAGAGGACGGATTAACTGCTTTTGCATTAGTTCCTATGGGAAGAAATGCTTCGACTTACAAACCATGTCTCTACATAAGAACAAAAAAGCAGCCGGAACAGATTAATCAGTTTTCAGTGCATTCCTATGGGAAATGCTGATTCAACTAACGAACATTTCAATTTACCATTCCTATGGGAAATGCTGATTCGACTAATGAACATTTCAACTTATAAACACCTTTCCGTTACGGATTAAGTTTATAAATCGAGGCACCACTGTAACAAACATTTCTATACCTCTCTGTACCCCATATTCTGTTGCTTAGTGTAGCAAATTATACTAGAGTAGATCCATTGAATGAATGGGGATTTCATGAATCAACTCCTCTATAAGCTTCACTGGTTCTAATAGGCCTAATCTAACAGTGACTTTCTACAGCATAATAAGTTGCAACTAGAATAGACCTATTTTTATGAATGGAACCTACAGAGGAGTTGGCTCACTAAATCTCCATTGATTCAGTGGGCCTACTGTAGTGTCATTTACTACACTAAACAAATCTTGGGCCCATGTCACATTCATCTTACAGTAGTAATTATTTTACCAACTTGGTAATAGACGTCAATATTACTATCCATATGTTGTAGAAGGCTAAGGCTATGGTAAGGCCAGCTAATGATTTGATAGCAGAAGTGAGATCTGAACAGGCGGCTTAAGTCTTGCTCCTATACTCCCTCTTGTAGCATCCATGTGACACAGTCGATTGAGGTATGATTATATAGATAAGTGCAATTAATTTGGAGCCCTTCTGTAATTAAGCAATGGTTTGAATAAATTGGTATAGAAGGTAAATAAATGGAAGCTGATATATTCATAGTATGCATCAAGATCAAATGGAAGTAATCAAGGATGGTGGTTAACTGGTCTAAAAAAGATGAGGTTGCTTGGAGCAGCTGGTTTTTCTTGAAGAGAGCACAAGAGGAAAACTTCTGTTGCAAAGTATTGATTTTATGGGAGACGGGGAAATTATGGCACATTATTCAATTTTGATGTGGCATTATCATGTGTGAGAATTAAGATGCAATATTATCTGGTCATAAAACATGCTAGTCCCAAGAAGAAAGGGCTATGAAAAGACCTTCAAGAATCATGATTAACTAAGTCATTTTATTCCCAATATGTCTATGTCTATATTTTCAATTTGCTTCATTAACCTGCAGAGTCTGTTTAGTAAGTATTATTTTTGTCTTAGTCTTTTCCACAGATGAGTGGAGTGGCAGATGGACTAATAACCTCACTTCCTTGGGGTAATAACCAATCTTAGGAAGTATCATAAATTTGTGAGCCTCCAGGTATATTTTGGGGGGGAGCTAAATAAGAACACACCATAAAAGAATGGGATTTTATAACCCTAAACCCTCAAGGAAAACAACTTTTTCAGATTACACGAATTTCTGGAAATTATCAAGTCCATTCTGTTAAAGTGTTGATAACACTATGGTAATAATGAATGCAGGAATACTAGAGACAAGTAAGTGTACAAATCAATTTGGGATTCAGCTTTGATTCCTTTCATATGTCATGATAATTGCCAAATGAATGCTCTCTAAAGTATATAGAGCTCAAAAATTGGAGATGCTTCTGGGCAATTTCAACAGTTAATGTCATACACAAACATCAGTGCAGACGAAGATTTGGGCAGATAAAGTTCTCAGAATCGCCCAGCCAGTGGTCATGTTATCAGAGGAATCCTGGTCGCCATAGTCCTCTTCAAAGTAACTTTTCCAGGTTCTGTACATCAGCCAAGCAAGATTAATAGGCTGTGTCAACAAAGTGCAGCAAATCTGAGATGTGAGGAGGACCCACCAGATTTCTCATTCTCAGTGAGACACACTGCCAAGATTTCCCTGTTCATCAGCAAGAGTTCTCAGACCATTCTGGAATTAAAACAATCT